AATCTGAAGAGTTTTTTCCTGTTCTTTTATTTGCAAATTGCATTCATATAATGAACCCTCCAAGTAGCAATCCCAAAGATTACATAATTTTATTAATCACAATTTTATTTTTGGCTTATGATGTTGAAACTTAACCTGTTTGTGTTCTATCTAGTATTACATTACCTCTCTATTTTTAATCAAAAACTGATAATTGATAACACTTATTAGCATTGAGCAAATCAATGTTTCTCTTCTTTTAGATTTTTATATAAATGCAAACATTCAGGATTACATTAGAATGTATCAATCAAAAGCAATATTGCCAAACTGGTGATTTTGAAAAATATGTTATATTTTATAATAACATATACTGTAATACTAAGTAATACTACATTTATATATTAACTAATATTTGAATAAAAAATACTGAGACACACTGAAAAAGATTATGCAAACATTTTTGGCATTTACTTAATCATATTTAGTTACTTTAACAAAAATTGTTTCCTGGTAGCAGGGTAGGACATAAAACAATTGTGTTAAAGTAACTAAATATGATTAAGTAAATGCCAAAAACAATTGTTGTTTTTTTTCAGTGTATGCATGATGATGGGAGATGTTTGGCAACAGATTTTTTGCATTATGCATTTTCCTTTATGCTGTAATGTTGCTCATACAGAGTTGGCAAGATTTACTACCCAACCTAAATCATTTTGGGACAAAATGTGGAGGAAGGTTTATTTGTTTGATTCAGTGATTTTGCATTTGTTTGACAAAAAAATAAGAAGAAAAAAAGACAGATTTTTCCATTTTTATAGCCAGAGGTTCTAATTCATGCGGCACCACCTAACTACAAATGCTGTTTAGAGTACAGAAATCTGTTTAGTTCTTAAACAGTTTATTGTAACTATTGAGGGAAGCAGAAATATCTTGCTAATACTGTTCCTCAGAAGGGTACCAAAAACTGGTATGTGACAATTGAGTTTGAATAATAAAAATGATACTATAAAAAATGACCATTGCTATGAATTAGATATTTTTCTTTGGTATTTTTATTTTTTTAATTATCATGCTTTCTGACTTGCACATAGTTAAAAGTACATTGAAAAGAAAAAAAGTGAATTTTCTGGTTGTTGTTTCTTCTTTTTCATACAAATGGAAAACTACTGAATCAATTAATCAAACCACAACAAAACAAATTCCCTCAATGTTGTGCTCCAAAATGCTTTCGATGGAGTAATAAATATTGTATGAGCAGCTGCTCAACAAAGCAATATAAAAGAAAATACATAAAACAGCAACACTAATGCACCCTCAGTCATCATAACTTTGCATGTTTGGTTATATTTGGATTTCACAGTTTACCTATAACAAGTAAAAAGAAACATCTTTTTTAATATTTAAGCTCGAACGGATTGCACTATTGTGATTGCTTAATACGCCCTTCTTCTTTTTGGCAGCAATTAAACACCATAGGATATGAAGTATTTTCTTTGACAGGGAATCTATTAAGTGCTGCCATTAACCAAACAATGTTACATAATACATTAACAGAAAAAGTTCCAGTAATGGGTCTAAAAAAAGTGATGAGGCAAAAATCTTTGCTCATAACCAATGAGAATTTCATAATAAAAGCCTAACCATCGAAAAATAGCAACAAGTTATTCCCATTTTAGTTGTCATGAACGTAACACATAATAAGGAGGAGGTCTTCAACAGGGGGTCTGTGACCCCTAGGGGGTCCACGGATATACTGCATGGGGGTCGCAAAAGTTTAGGTTTATTTATTTATTTATTTATAATGCCCCTCTGCAATTTTTTTTCACTAATTGAAATGTCTTTAAATACACATTAAGATGAATACAACACACTGTAGTAATCAGATCAGTGGAGGCAGAAGATGTCTTTCAGTCATCAATGCACACATTCAGCGACACACAATAGTTCTTTGAAACTGGGCACCGTTTTATTCAAAACACCTGTCCCATCAACCAGGAATCAGATTTAGAAATACTTTTATAATACCAGGGAGAAATTACTTTCGTTACATGACTCCATCTGTAATAGAGTGACTATAGGATCAGTTTGATATAACACAATTTCATATAATATATATAATTAGGGGGGCCCTGCTCCATCACCATCAGTTTGGGGGTCCCTGGCCTGGAAAATGTTTGGACACCCCTGCTACAGAGGCGTAGCCAGAATATTTTTATAAGGGTGGCCAGGCAATAACCAATGTACACTGAGGGGTGGCCGAAATAGACCAGAACCTCAGGGTCAATCTACACTGTTCCATCAGGTAAATTAAAGAGCAAAACATCCATATTTTCTAAATAAAGACAAACTTTATTTTCCTACAGCCTTTACTAAAAAATAGACGCATATATGTTTAAAAATCTGCGTTTTCTAAATAAAAGGTATAGTGGATAAAATTCTTTCAGTTTGAGATCTGGAGCGTAAATCTTTTCCATTTTTATTACTTACCTACTTGTATCAATAAATATTCTGCATAAAATTGATATTTAAAAGTACTAATATCTACATAAATTGATTATTTGATAAGTTTTTATTAAAAGTGTTATTTATCTATGATTTCACTGAAGCTAATGACTTGCAGAGACACATTTTCTCTTTACACCATATAACACAAAATCTAGTTCTGAAAAGAGCAGGAATTCTGTACTTATCATCTTTGATGTTAGTATATTATATATTTAAAAAATAAAATGCTTTAAATATATAACTTGAGAGTATTACTACTGCCACATTCTGTATTAGAGGGGGAAAACGGTAGAGGTGATTAGCAGTGATTGGCTAACAGTGGCAATGGCCACACCTGGCCCCCCATCTAGCTCCGCCCATGCCCTGCTATAAGGAATTATTAGATTTTATTTCATAAGAGTAAACATTACACAATAATTTATTAATCTAAATCAACCTATATGAATACTTGCTTAATACCCTTAACAGAAACGAAAACTTAATATTCTTACTATTTGCTTTTATTTGCTGAGCACATTATGGTTACTTGTCTCTACAAGAATGCTTTTATTGTGAAAATCTGGTCAGTTACACACCGGAAAAGGGGCTGTGTGTTCTGAGTACCAAGCAAGAGGAAACGATCCGTCCTTATTCTTTTAAAGATCGCTGAGCCCGTCGGATGTTTTCGGCTCGTTTTGCGGAAGTTGTTATCATTTTTCACCATGCTACTATATACACTGTATCGCAGGGCCCCATCCAGTCTTAGACGGCTTTGATAGTGGATCATAAACAGGAAAATGTACAATACAGTAGAAATAACTGAAGCAATTTGGCTTATTATATGAAATCGTTTTCTTGATATTCTTTATTTGATAATCACATAAAAATGGTGCGTTAAATTTAAACCAAGACCATATGTAAATGTTCTAATGCTCCACTTTGTCATCAGTTATGTCTCTTTCTTCAAGGCTTGTCTTTCACATTGGCCCCCGCCCGAACATTTGGATGAAGTAAATGTTGATTATGTAATCTTCTCTCTGGGCAAACAAACGTTGTTGATTGATGATGTTAAATCAAATAACCATGGCGGCGAAATCAACAGTCGGTTAGGTCACAGTAAATCTACTGCTCTTAAATATTAAAAGGTAATAAAAGAATGTTTTCTTCACATTCCTACCACTCGAGCAGGGGCAAGCATGCGCACGAGAGGCCAAGCTTTAGCCTTATTTGGATATGTTAATGAGCGGCTACCGAAAGCCAATGGGAAGCGAGTATGATGCCATGTGACTAAAAAAGAGCGCTGAGGAGGCGGAGCCAGGAACGGACCTTCAGTTAAAACCAACGGAGGGGCTACAGCGCATTCAGTGTAGGGAGAAGCAGGGACTCACTTAGAGGGAAAGTTTGTTACTATGAAACTTAGGAATATTTATAAAATATATGCATAATTATCAAAATCCCTCGTGCATCAATAACTTGCCCCAAGGGTATCAGGTTTTAGGCTTAGTTTTCCCGGAATGGGCTTCTACACTCACTATTCTTATACTTTTTTTGAAAGAATGTGTGAGACAGACAGTTAGCCAGCCAGCTAGCTAGCTAGCTAGCTGAGAGGTGAGACAGGCGGCAGGAGAACAAAAGATTTTTTTGCGTTTTGGCCGGTTGTACTGACACCAAGTCCATGCAGAACGCGTCATTACCACCACAATGCCCGTTTTACTTTTTCTGATAGACACGTCCGCTTCAATGAACCAGCGCACCCATCTGGGCACTACCTATCTGGACATAGCAAAAGGCGCTGTTGAGACTTTTATGAAGGTACTGTAACCACGGGACACATTCATATATCGGGAGATCCCGAGAAAAGGGGGGGGAAAAGAAAAAAAAAAAAAATCGCAGTTCAGATCGTCATTGTACTGTTGCAAAGCTCGCCTGTCAGAGCTGATCTCTCGTTTAACCGTAACGTAATTCTTCTACTATTTCCACAGCTCAGAGGGAGAGATCCGGCCAGCCGAGGGGACCGGTATATGTTGGTAAATTTTGAGGACGCTCCGTTCGGGATAAAGGTAGAATTTGCTTTCGGGTCATGTCCAGCTTTACATCTGTCCTCCCCACCGCTCCTCCACGCTGTGATCACTGTGTCAGCCGTGTAGAGAAAATCTTCAGGAGGAGCTTTCATACCCCTTTTAAAACATGGCCGACATTTTGTTTCAGTCTGAGCAGCAAGGAACTCTGGGTGTTATTTATACAGCGAGCTAATATATGAGAGGGGGAGTGAAGAGGAAGGAGTGATACACTCAAAGCCTACTTTAGTTGTTTACAGAAAATTATCACTTTTTTCAGTTTTTAGATTCAAGTAGTAATTTTCTACATCATTTAAAAGTGACAAAACATGGATATAGGGCTGTCTATGGAAAATGGGCCACTGAAAAAATTAAAAGTTAACTGATTTCTACATTTTATTTCAGCATAATATAAGAAAAAGGCAGAATTCTGACTTTAATTTCAAAATTCTAAATTTAATTTCAGAATTTTTACTTTAATTTCAGAATTCTGACTTTAATTTCAGAATTCCGACTTTAACTTCAGAATTCTGACTTTAACTTCAGGATTCCGCCTTTAATTTCAGAATTCTCACTTTAATTTCAGAATTCCGCCTTTAATTTCAGAA